TCATTCACTTCTAGAACGAATACGAATGACAGAAATTTGTTATTTTTTGTTAAGTTAAAATATGTATTTATCAAAATCATGGAATTTCAAGTTCATGTTTCGAGATTCTACAAGACTAATTTTAGTTTTTTAGCTATTTATCATGAATTCCTTGACTATGGACAAGTGTCAAAGTTTTGTTAGACAAATTGTAAATGCAACTTTTTATAGCTTAAAATCTTTTACAATTGCAATAATATATTTTTCCATAGAAAATTTATCTTTAGAGGGCAATAATTAGGTAAGATTAAAATTTCACACCGTTCATTTTGTTTATCCTTGGTTGTGTTAGAGGCATTTTGTAAAGAGGGCATAACTGGATATGTAAATTTTAGAACTGTCCACCGCGCAAATGCGCGGTGATCCCCTCCTAGTATTACTAAACGCTCTAAACAGTCATGAAATGGATAGTAGGGACAATAATCCTAATATGTATGGTCATGACAGCCATTATGTTCGGCAGATTGATAGTCATGGTAGCCATTGTGCTTGACCAATTGATTTATTTTATGTTATATGGCCAAGGGTTAATTCATAAAATCTCTTGATCGTCCTCTCAGAGGGCTATCAACCTCTAGATTGAGTACTTAGAAGTTGGATATTGCATGTACTTATTTAGAAGCTATTCTTTATGAAATGAGATGACATGATTGACACGTTTTTTGGTTTGCAAGATTCTATGAATATGATTATATCATGTTATGTATTTCCATGCTACATTCGGCAGGGGCCACCTCCAGTGACGGAGCCAGGATTTTTTTTCTGGAGGGGCCAAAATTTTTTCCAAATAAAATTATCTTAATATATTGTGTTCAAAATAATTTTCTTCTATTTAAATATATGACATCTAAAAATATCAAATATTAAATTTAATTATAAAGGTATGTTTATTCATAAATATGCGGTATAGTCATAACAAAAATTAACAAAAAAGATAACTTTTGATTAAATATCTTATAACATCACAAGCCATCTAATTTGCACATTATGAGAAGATGCTCTCCAATATATCACCTATGCAATATATATATATATATATATATATATATATATAACTATGTAATATAAATGTAACTATTTTCAATTGAAAAAAGATAAAAGTTATGTTAACATAATTTGAAATTTCGATATCTTTTCTTAGAAGTAAATTGAGCTCTACGCTCTTTCATAGAACTAAATTCATTTATGATTGAATCACTGCTAAATTTTTCAGCAACTTCCTTTTCTATATACACAGTTAGACAATCATTCAAGAAATTATCTTGCATCTTGTTTCAGAGCTTTGTCTTGATTATTTTCATAATTAAAAATGCCCGCTCTGTAGTTGCAGGTGATATAGAAAGACTAACAACAAGTCTAATAAATCTGTCAATAAGAGGACATATCACTGATTTTCTTGTTTTCACCAAGTCTTGACGTAACTCATGAATACCAGATAATTCTTGCAATTCATGATGATTTGGAATGTCGAACTCAAAATATTGAAGTTCTATTCTTAGACGTACTAGTTCTTGCTTTTAACAATTATGAATTGGGTCTTTTTAGCCCATTAACAATTATGAATTGGGTATTTTTATTCTAATACATCACATTGGGTCAATTTACTATGGAACATCACATTATATGTTTAATTTTTGAAAGTTAAATAATTAGTACAATAAAAAATAAATAACTTTTTCTGAAGAAAAAAATTAATTCAAAGATGACTAATTCATATATATATATATATATATATATATATATATCTCAACTCTCATAATATAAACTAAAATTGTAAAAATTTAGGGGGGGCCAATTTTATTTTACACACATATTTACATATTATGAATTAAAATTTTCAAAACTTAGGGGGGCCATGACCCCCCTTTGTTCCCCCTTGGCTCCATCATTGGTTCTTAATATTTCCTATCTGTAATCCCTTGTATAAAAGTTGTGGTTGCAGATGCTAAGTTGGAATAACACTGCTGATATACCCAATGTCCCTGCTACAATATGTCGAAGGCTATTCCTTCCGTAACAGAAGGATCAAAACCTTCCATTTCCTTCAATTCTAAGAGATAAGTTCGCACATGTTGCTGACTAATTGTGTTCCTCTGAAAGCATCCAGATATGAGAGCTGATAAAGGAAATGGTCTAGGGTGCATGTACATAGATTTCCTTTTTGGACGGACGGTCTTTTATTCTTCATCAATCAATTAATTTCATCAGAACGTGTATAACCTATACGTGTACAGCTTCAAGAAAAAGAAGAAGAATAGAAAAGAATTACAGTGGACAGACATTAAGATCATGCAATTACAGTGGACAGACATTAAGAATAGGGGATTTTCCGGCGGCTTGGGGGGGGGGGGCTTAAGCCCCCACCAGCCCCCCCTTAAATCCGTGGCTGGCCACCTCTAGAACCTGTGAGACTAAGTGCTATATCAAACAGGGTCCACTTTGTGTATGTCACTCACTCTCAATGAAATATGTATATGTAATACATGGAAAGTTGCCAAATGTTTTTATTTGGTGTGTGTATGTTGTACTGTGTGACCGAATTTACAAATATATATAATATGTATGTAGCTATTAATTCGATAAGAGAGTAAATACTATTTACTGGGCATATGTACATTGCTCAACCCACATTTTCTTTATTTTTTCTCGTAGATCAAGAAAGCAGAATCATGTACTTTTAGAAGATAAGAGAAAGATAGATAGATAGAAGTTTTCATTCTACGAGTATAGAGTAAGGGTATTAGCAAATGTATTGGTTTGAATATAGTATGTATTTATTAGGTGATTGTAAGTTTTAATTTTAGTGAAATTTTATATGTTATGATCATGATGTCTTGTATTCATGGGACTAAGGTCTCTTGACTAAGGCATGCCATGTTGCAAATTTGGTCTAGGGATTCGGATTTGAGGTGTGACAAAATCCAGTTGACGTTAATAAAAAAATTTTGTATTTGTATTTTTGCTCTATAATATATAGTCCCCTAAATTTCAACTAATAATATTTAATATACAAATTAAATGTAACTTATTTAGATGTTTTAAACTAAGAACTCTAATATTTCGAACATTTAAAAGCTAATTAATTTTTTCTTCTTTTTTCTTTTATTAATGTATCATGCCAGCACTGGTCTCTCATGCTGGTTTGTTTTGCATAATTGGAATTTATTTTTGTACATTCTCTCAATTATGGTGCAACAGATGTATGTTTTATTCTACCATGTACCTAATTAATTGGTCATAAGTTTTGTCATATTTTCACTTATTATGGTAATTAAATATCCCTTAAAAAAATAAGCAATATGCTGTATTTATAAATCAAGTTGATCGCCCACTAAATATTTTGTATTGCGAGTAGGCAATTAATTAACTTTCAAAGAAAATGGATTTTTTAAAGAAAAATTGTTTGATTTACTGACTAAAGTTAGAATGTACATGGACATTGGATGATATACTTTAAAGCTTTATCATTGGAACGTTATCTTTTATTTAAAACATCAAAGAAAATAATTCAAAAAGAAAATTTGTCCAGAAGACTTTCACATTTGTACAACTATGTTAAACTTAACCTCACCATTTATTGCAATCACATACTAATTATAACCATTTGAAACTTATGTTTACTAGTAATCCTATAAGAATTTGCGTAGTAGCAGTTAGAGTAAAATCATAATACAATTATAACTAGCCTATACTATTTCTAACACCTTTTATATGTTATATGTGTATTATCACTTTGCAACTAATTTATCAAGGAGGCTTTTAGGCTAATAAAATTAGAGTTCACCTACAAAAAGAGACTCTAAATCATGACATCATTAAGCAAAAGACACAAACATGGGAATCCCTAAAATAAAAAAAAATGGCTTATCCTTAAGTTTGTTTTTTCGCTAAAATTGTATGATGCTTAGTATACGATTTTCCATAAAATTATTTTCACTGATATATTATTCATTTAGAGATGTATTTTCACAACTTAAATTTACATATACAACAAAATATAACACTATCAAGGGAGAAATTCAAATTAGTTAGTTAATTTTATTTGTTTAGTTGTGATTCCTAAAAATTTTTTTATTTTGGATATAATTGGTGTGATAAGCATTTTATTATCAAATAAAACTCATTGTTTTGATTTTGCTTAGAAGATCATATCTGATCAAAATTATATCTAATTAGCATTTTAACATTTTGGTTTTCTAGTGATCCTAGAATATATCTTGCATATAATTAATTCAATCTACATTTCTATAATTATTTGATACATAGGTATAGCAAAAAATTATAACTATTTTAATCCTATGGAATTATATTGATCTAAACAACAAATGTTTGTAAAAAAAAATGGAAAGCTAAAACTTTGATCAATGTCAATTTAATTTTGACGATCAGCTAGTATTAATTTGCTTAATTAAACGCGAAACTTTGGCGACCAAAAGAAACATGGTGGGCCAAAATTTGATTTTTCCATTTAGTACGTTTTAAAGTCATTTTTCATTGCCTTCTCTTCTCACCTAGTAAAATTTCAGAATTTTTTTAAATACAATTTTGACATTTTTGGTTTGAAAAACTTATAAAACTGGCTCCAATGAGAACATTTGAATCTTAATTGGTGAAAATCTTTGCTTTATAAATGCCCAAAAATACCATCACTATGAATATCCAAAAACTTTTAATTAACAATGTTTTTGGTAGAAATCAAAGGGTAGGTATACTACAAAATTTGACTCATTATAACCTCAATGGTGTCTAATTGAAAGAAGGAGAAGGGGTTTTGACATCGTTTTCTAATTGATCTTCATGTTTTCCGAAAAGAAAGAAGAGAATTATGCACTTGCAAGGAAATTGCAATTTTTTCCTACATATTGTAGATATTTAATGTGTGTGTGTGTACATATGCATTTTTTTTTTCCGGAACGGAATTAACACACACACACACAAAGTTAAAACAAACACAGGAGTAAACAGATAAACCAGCCCGAAAGCAATTTAGAGTATAAACATATGCATGTGTGTGTACATATGCATATATAAAAGTATAAACACGGACGTATCTAAACTTTGACTGCACAAAAATGTTGAAGTGTCACAAACTGGATTCAGTTGGTAGGGGTCCGTTAAAGGTTCAAAACCCCATTACCTCAACTTAATTTTCTAAAGTGAAAGAGCAAATGAAAATATCTTAAATATATGAGATATGTTCATCGGTGCATGGGCTCAAGATAATTGAGATTCTGAAACCACTTGCAGTCTTGAGATTTTATGAACATTTATGCAGCACCATATCAAGAACCAAAGATTCCTAACAGTTTCCCGCAGCAACCAATATATTGGAAGTGAATCTTCACCGGTGTCCCTGACCTTGCAAACAAAATGTTGTAGTCAGTTACAGTACACAGCCATGTTATCTAGGCATGGATTGTTTGCATCCAGGCAGCACCTTCAATTCCTTGGGAGTTCATCCTACTGGAATAGAAGAAATACATTCCGCTACAATACTCCCAATTCAGTTAAAAATCATGAAATGCAACATTTTTGCCAGTTCCGCATTCCAGAGGAGCCCTTCAGTGCAGAAAATTGTTGCAATGTTCACCACTCTACAAAGGGTATAAGAATAACAATTACAAAAATGCGAGGTCAAACCAAAGAGATCAACCATCCTATCAATGAAATGCAAGATACCACTTCAATAGCTATCCTTTCTTATTATTTAAAATTTCTTTTTTCCAGTACTTGTAATGTTCCTAGTACTGGATGACTATAACAATAAAACTGCTATCAACTTCCCAACAAACAGATATCAACCAAGCCTGCATGACATTTAAAACGAAGTGTTTGGACTCTAGAATCAGAATGGCATCCTGGTGGATTTATAGTCTTGGAAAACACCCAAGGATGACTGCATTTCAGCTTGTGCGTTATTTGTAAGTGATGGTTCCTTAAAAGGTATATTTTCTGTTTCAAAAACTGATGTAGCTGAAGATGTTTAAAGTAATCCAGCACCTTAGCCAGAAAAAGAAAATTGTCAATTTAACAGAAATGTTTAACTAAAATATTCAGAACAAAGGCTAATAGTTTAAAACAGGAGGAATAAGGATTTAGTGGTTTGTCACTTTTAATCGTATTTCAGAAAGCATAAAAACCTTGAGTTCACATGATTATTGTTTAAAACATATGCGGCTGTATGTTATGAAGTTTGAATAAGTGGTCAAAACTTTGGAACACCACATTCTGGAGGTATACAGATCAACTTTGAAAAATAGCCTGTGCTCAATGGTAGAAAGATTTTAGTATATGATCAGGTGATTCGATGTGTGATTTGCTTGCAGGATTTAAAGCATTTGAAGTGAATGATATCATTCCCAAAAAAAAAAGTGAAATCAAGAGTGTGTACGTTCAAGTGCTGTCTATCTTCAGATTCAGAGAGAAATCAGGAAAGGGGGAGCCCTTCTCTGATAGCAAACTGGAGCTCTGTGCAGCCATGGATCCTTTTGGGTTACTTCTGCAAGAAAGTTAAATGATCATGAGAGTACTTCAATCCTAGAACACTGACATGTAAACTGGAAACTTTTGCAAAGTAATTGAAGTACTGTGTATTGTACCTTTGAGGAGCAAATATCATTAATATGCATCCAGAAATTTGACAAATCTAAGTATTCAAGCGCAGTGCATACTGTAATTTATGGAACGAATAATAACTCAAGCACAGATATTTACAATTGAAGTACTGTGTTTTGTACCCCTTTGAGAAGCAGACATCTTTAATTTGCATCCACAAATTTGACAAATCTAAAGAGTCAAGCAGAGTGCATACTATAATTTATGGAACGATTAACACCTCAAATTTGATGTTTCTAGTTATTTATAACCCAATTCAACAAGCACGCATGTATCCCTAACATTGAGTTTACTCTGGTGTTAAAAGCTCGGACAGAAGACCATGGTGACTTTCTTGATTGGCCTAGAGAATTTAAACATGATAGAAAAGGAATGGAGAATTGATATCACTAAGTCTTTTTAGCACAACTGTGAAGGCTATGAATACTTGCATTTCAATTAACTTTTCTTTGTGCTTCTTATCAAATTGTGAATTGAATAGATCCACAATGATCATTATAACATACAAAACATTGCATAAAATACTATGAGGAATGCAGTACATGTTGAACAGTTTAAGGAATATGTAAGCATTGTCTCAAACCCAAAAAGGGAAAACAAAACACTTTCTAGGTATGATAAATAACTAGCATTAGCATTGCTCTTTTGCCTCAAACAAGGAATGATGTACTAATCCAGTATTTGACAAATGCGCGGTAAAACCTGTAATTCAAAGTTATCCATAATGTATGCACCAAATAATTTAAGTGCACTTATCCATCAAGGATATAAAGCATTCCCACTTGCAAATCACTGAAACATTTTGGGGGCAGAGGGAATTTACCTTCAGTTACTGGAGGACAACATTTTGGAGGACGAGTATGTTTATCATGGAATGACTTCAACACTAACATTTACAATATATGAACCACCTTCAGCCTATATTCTCTTTCCTCCATTCTAAATGTGGTGTCAGCAATAGAGCGTTTTTGATTTCTTGGGAGGTAAGTAGCCTCTCTTCCTGAAATGGCTGAAGCTGAGAACAGCGACTGGTCCATAGAATTCCAAGAGTGGTATACTGCCTAGAGTGGAAGACACATCATAGTATAACAAAATAGGATTCGTATTGCAATCATGACAAAAGAAGCAATATTAGCTGTCTTTTAGCTTTTGAGGCTTCATAGTGTTCTGCAGAATACAAAAATCTTGAAAAATGAAAAAAAAAGTACCTTAAATTACTCAATATGGATGATCATGGTGGAGCCCTGACACGGCCAGCGTCTCCGTTACGGGATTAATTCTTCATCGACTATTATGCAGGGGATATGGGCAACCTCGGCCCAGTCTTGTCCTTTCTCCCATTCTAATCTTGGTTTCAGCAGCGGAGAGTCTCTGATTTCTAGTTTGGTTAAGGAGGTGGGCAGTCCCTCTTCTGGCAATGACTGGAGTAGTCTGCACCAAGTGATTCGTAGCCTTTGTAGAGAGGTGAGGTGTTGAAGACCCGAATAGTTTAGCATTTTCAGATTCTGACATCCCCTGAGTTCAAGATATTCAAGCGTGCAAGGCAGCAACCAGTCCTCATTTGGAAAAGACTCCACTGCTTCATCAGTAACATCAATCCGTAAGCCTCTAAGAGAGGGGAGTCTCAGCAAATCCCATGTTTTTGGGCTTGTCAGGAGCTTTTTGCAGTTGAGGATATAAAGGGATTGTAGGCTGGTAGGCAAACCACCTTTTGGAAAGCACTCAATTTCTGGACAATTGCATAGATCAAGTTTCCGAAGAGATGGAAGAAGTGATTCCATCCTTGCCGGCAGGAACTTGAGCTTCTCGCAATTGATGATTTCTATCTGCCTTAGATTAGGGGCTGGCAATCCTTCCTCTGGAAAAGATATTAGATTACCACAGTCCCAGATCTTTAAGCATTGCAGAGAAGTTAAGAGTACCACTTCCATTCCCAATCCTGCATGGAGGAACTGAGAGCACCTCCATACGCTTGCAGTCTTTAACCTGAACAACTTTTAGCGTAGGGAACAAGCCAAGCGAGACAACTTTGAGAGAGTTGCAATTCTTGCATTTCAACTCCTCAAGGAGGGAAACAGGTTGGTAACTTGCGCTTTCTGATTCAAAACCGCCACAACCATTGCATACAAGTTTTTCCAGTGAGGTAGGTAGGTTACCCAAGGGAAACGATATGAGAGACCCACAATCACTAATTTCCAACCTCTCAAGGGAGTCTAACTTGTTCAGTTCTGGGGACAACTCTTTCAAATGCTCCATGCGTGAAATCTTTAATTTACAAAGAGATGAGAGTTGTTGAATGTCACTGTCAAAGATACTCAACCGACCATTAGAGAGCACAAGATTGTCGCATCCAGAAATCTCAAGTTTTCGTAGCGACAAAAGTTGTTTGGGCAATTTTGCATTGAGTTTGGGGTAATCGATTAAATAGAGCTTTTCAAGACTACAAAAAACTTCACATTCTGGAATATCCCATCTCTCCAAATCTTGCATATTCTCAATTTTGAATTTTTGGAGAGATGGAAAAGGTTCGATTTCACAATTGTTACCAAAATACATGTCTTCAGTAAAGGCTGATATATTACTCATTCCAACAATTTCAAGAGATTTCAAGGACTGAATCTGCCCAAGTGCAGGCAAGTGAAAGCAATATGCACAGTTGGACAGACTCAAGGACTCTATACTGCAAAATGAAGGGGTTTCCAGCCATTTAGGAAATCTTGTCCCATGATATCCATTGATTTTCAAATGATTTATACTTGAATGAGGCTCTAGACTCTCAAGCACATCTCTCGGAACTTGTGAATCATTAATATCACCTTTCCACTCTAGAGTTAAACTTTTAAGGTGTTTCTTTCCCTTCATGTTTGCCATTGATGCTTCTCTCCCTCCAGAAACATTTTCCAACCCATAAAGGAGTAAATTACCGCCAAGCATAGGAAGCTGGCCCAGCTCCTTGATTGCTGAACCACAGTCCTTGCCTACCACAAAAGTAGTTAAAACTTGAAGGTTTGTCAATCTATCCATTTGTATTGGCATTTTCTTGAGCAGAGCTCCACTAACATCTAGGTAATACAAATTAATTAACTTCCCCAGATCTTTGGGCAACTCTTCAAGGTTCTTGCAATATGACAACAACAATGTTTGTAGACTGTACAGGGTACATATCCAATCCGATAGCTTTTCTATGTGCGTACGAGACAGATCTAGGATTCGTATTCGCTTCAAACCACTGATTGAGTAGGGCAACTTAATTATACTTCTATTGTACAAAGACAGAACCATGAAAGACTTGAATGTGGGCAACATATCATGTACAAATTTGTTGCTTATTCTTCCAGTAGCAGATCGATACATACCAACGGGGAGAAATGCTCTTAAATTCTTGCCCTCCCTCAAGAGTTTAAACTTATCAAATGTGTCATACTCACTGGGAAAATATGTGAAGTTACGTACTCTAGCTGTGGTGCCATGGCCAGGGTAGTGATCTTCCAACCTGAGACAATATTTTCCTGCAACAAATCTAGCCAAATCATTGATAAGGTCATGCATAGAGAATTTGTCGTTGCTTGGCTGCCACAACAATGACCTCAATCTCAGTTCATGCAAGTACTCTTCACCTATGTCTTCAATAGTTTTAAACTCTCTTTGGTGCTCCAGAAGACCATTAGCATGCCATAGCTGAATTATTTCTTTTTTTTTAAAACCATAAACCTTTATGGAACACAGAACAATAAGCAAAGCACCTTTTAAGATGGGAAGAAAGGTGCATGTAGCTTAACCTCAATGCTGGCAAGATGCCATTTGGATTTCTTGTCTGGTTCCATATATCATTTCTTAAAATGTCTTCCCACTCCTCAACCATCCCTCTTGAACGCAAAAGACCTGCAATTGTTTTCACAGCCAAAGGCAACCCTTCACACTTGTTCACAAGTTTCTTTCCTATCACTTCAAGTTCACGCCAGTTTTCATTGTCTTTATCTCCAAATGCATGTTTCTCAAATAAGGACCAAGGGTCCTCCTCTGATATCAAATCCAAATGATGAATTGACATTTTTTCGCCCATCATTAATGCAATTCTGTTAACTCGTGTTGTCACTATGATCTTGCTTCCTTCAGAACCACCTTTGAGCAGCATCTTCAATGTATCCCAGTCATCATAGTCACGATTCCAAACATCATCCAGTACAAGAACAAACCTTTTATCAGTTAAGCCAAGTTGTAGCTTAAGCTGAAGGGAATTCAAACCCTCACCAGAGTCAGAAAACGAGATCTCGAGCTCCTTAAGGAGTTCCTTCGTTATCTTTGTCGCATCATATGCTTCTGATACACAAACCCATGCCTTGGTAGTGAAATGATTCTTCACCCTCTTATCATTGTAAACCAATTGAACCAAGGTCGTCTTACCAATCCCACCTTGGCCCACTATTGGAACTACAGTGACACTGTCTCTTTTTTCATCCTCAGACAACAACATTTGGATTATCTTCTCCTTGTCAACATCTCTACCACAAACAGTGTTCTCATCGACCAAAGAAGTCGAAGGCAGTCGACATGATTGTATTTTCGATTCAACAACTTGCAAGCCCAAGGGATTAATTTGCTGTATAAATCCGTCTAGGCTAATCACAACTTTTTCTATCTCAGGCATAATCCTTTTAAAGAACTGATTACTGAAAGATGAAATATAAGTGGAAGCACTTACCATGAAGCTGGTCGAGCTCTGGTACTCAGTTTCTACCTTAACTCTGAGAGCTTCAGTGTTGATCTCATCGAGCAAGTCATCTGCCTGGTAAACGAGTTCATGGAGCTCTTCAAGCCATTCTTTGACAGCTTGGTTGCTTATTTCCTTGTTTTCTGCATCATCAAGCACTGCTCCAACTGCCAGTAAGTTCATCTTGAGCTTCTTGAGGAGTTCATCATCAGCTTTTCGCTTACGAAACAAAGTCAGGAACTCTGGTGTAGCCATCCTGTCAAACAGCACTTGAAGGAAAGCCGAGAGAAAAGAGCCTCCAACTATGGCAAGAGCCATATCTTGGGGTGGAGGTTCAAGTACCGAAACAAATTCAATCAAGCTAACGAGAGAAAGAGAGCACTACTGCAGCAGAGCAGAGTATGGTTAGTTTTGTTTTGTGAAGCCAAGCTCCCAAGAACAGAAAATGATTTCTTTTTTACGGCGTGCAAAGTCAACAAAATTGACCTTCGGGCCATGGCAAAAAACTTATGTAGCCTAAGTTTGGGGGCCCACACATATATCAAACAGTGCACAATTTGCCGCATTTCATGCTAATTTTAAGTCCGCACTTCCCCATTCCTCTCTCCTTGACCAACGCCGCCGCCACAACGCCGCCATCATTTCCTCTTGGTGACAACATGCTTTGACGTTGTTTAGGAACCTTTTCTTGCGCAAGTGGAACCATACCCGACCACCAAGTTCAAAAATAAACTTGCGCCTATTCTTGTTAACTTGCTGGACATATTAGGCGGTTCTTCTCTTAATGTTAGCGCGCACCTTCTCATGCAATGACTTCACAAAGTCGGCCTTCCTTTTGCCATCTAAATTCACATGTTCAGAAGAAGGTAAAGGTAACTAGTCTAAGGGATTTAAGGGATTAAAATAATATACAACTTGAAAAGGTGAAAATTGTGTAGTACTATGCACTGCCCTATCATATGCAAACTCTACATGAGGAAGACATTCTTCTCATATTTTAAGATTTTTCTTTATAATAGCACGCAAGAGTATTGACAAAGTTCTATTTACTACTTCAATTTAACCATCCGGTTGAGGATGACAAGAAGTAGAAAACAACAATTTAGTTCCCAACCTACCCTACAAAGTGTGTAATTTTTATTGTCAAAAAGGTCACATGAAAAGTGATTGCTATGTGAGAAAAAACATGAAAAGAGGCATGAAATGCATGTGGATAGTTAGACATGATACTAACTCTCAAAGACCCAAATCTCTTGATTGAGAATAGTTTTTTTAAAAAAAAAAATTGGATAGTTTTTTTTTTGTTGAGAATATTTTTAAAAGGGACATTGTGGATATCACTCATTTCTCTAAACAATGTTCAAATGATCTTCTATTTATACATATATATGTGAATGATATTATCTTTGGTGCTATTAATGAGTGTTTGTGCAAGGATTTTTTCTACTATTATGCTAGATGAGTATGATGGGAGTTTGAATTTCTTCCTTAGACTTCGAGTGCTTCAAACTCAAGAAGGTACGAAAATTGATGAGAAGAAATACAGAGGTATGATCGCTACAAGTATTTTGTAATGCTTTTGATATTTCTGATGTTCTGAACTAAGTTTCCTTTGACGATTTTTGAATGACTAATGAATATTGGTTGATATGAATGTTTGTCTCATTGATGTTTATTAATAATTTTAGGTATCTTTTGATATTATTCTTCTGTTATTGATTGATGATGGTTGCCACTACTGTTTTTTTTATGGCAATTACTCTCTACTTTTATGATGACAAAAAGGGGGAGAAATTACAAAATGGATGTTGGTTTGGGATGCTATGAGTAAGGGGGGGTTCATTTGATGATATTTCATGGTTTTGGATGCTATGAGTAAGGGAGTTTCTACTCATTTTCCTTCCTTCCATCCATTGTTTTGTCATCATCAAAAAGAGGGAGAATGTTGATTTTGATCCCTGTCTTTTGATGTTTACAAAGCAAATGGATAGTATTAATATCTCTTCAAAGATTTTTTTCAGCAATGAAACAAATCAGGTTCAAAGATTAAGTACAATTGAAAGAGACAAAGAGTGCTGAAAGCTGTCGGACGCTCGTGAAGACTGGATCGGACGTTCGATAATCATTGCACAACTTCGGACGCATGAAGAACTCTATCACCGGACGTCCGAAGGAAATAAGACATTCTCCCTAACTCACTAATCTCGATCGGACGCAAGCATCGGATGTCCGATAGGATCCTTCAAACTCGAGGAAAATTGTCGGATGCTCACAAAGACAATACCGGACGTCCGATAGAATTGAGATATTCCTTCTAACTCATTGTCTGCTTTCGGACACAAGCACCGGATGTCCGATAGAATTGAAGAAGATTTTTCAAACTCACTGCCTGCTGTCGGACGCATGTTTCGAATGTACCGGACGTCCGACATTCCCAACGGCTAGTTGACTCTTTAGTTACTTTCTATATGTTGGAAGCATTAATGAAGCACTTTCTTACTCTCCTATAAATAGAGCATGGTCACAAATTTCAAACAACTTTTGCACACTAAAGATACAAAAGATATAGAGTAGTTTTAGTGAGAAAACACTCTCCAAGGAAGATTTGTAGTCTTAGTGGTGTGAAGTTCATTGTAAACTTTTCATTTGTGAGTGAATACTTCAATAGTGTAACTCTGTGAGGGTTGTCCTGAGGGATAGTAAAACTTCCTAAGTTGACCAAGTGGAGATTGGAGCAAGGAGGAAGTGAGCCTTCCTTTGTACACAAGATTGGTTGTATTTCATCAATTTGAAGAAACTTGTTTGAATTGATCTACAAGTTTAAGAGGAGCTTGATAGTCAATTGGTTTGCAATTCTTCCTTTCTTATTTATTTATTGTTATCTTGTGATCTTTAAATTGTTTATATCTTCTACTTCTCTCAAGTGATATTATTCATTCATTGATTGATTCATTGTGTGATCACTTAGAAAAGAGGATAAATTTCACATTGAGCAAAAAGTGCCCATAACTTGATTAGTTTCTTAATCAACCTAATTCACTCCCCTTTTAGGTTGTTTTCGGGCCTTAAAATTATAAGATAAAAACTAGAGAAGTCTTTGGTCAAAGTTGGCTTGATGACCAACACTTGTCATCCATCCATTTTTCCCCTTCTTTCTTTTTTTTTTTTTTTTCTTTTCCTCTCTCTTTTCTTTCTCTAAATTTGGCCAAAACCCTGGAAATGTAAGGGAGAAATAATAAAAAGGAAAGTAAGGAAATTAATGAAAGAAAGGTCTTGATCAAATGGTGTCTTCAACCGGTGACAAATGGCGCGAGTTGGTTCAAACCTATCTCTTTGTTTTCCCTTGTTTGGTAACTTATGTTTCACTAATTCACTCTTAACACTTCCAATCACATATTCCCTCTAGTACCACACTTGTTCTCGTCCACCAAATATAACTCACACATCTCATTCGTCGGTCAAACTACCTTAATGTACTATGGAACTTAGCATACACTAAAATATAAAAAGGGAATGACAAAAATCTTAACTTAACTTTTAAATCACTGTCAAATTAAGGTTAGCAAATAAGCAAGTAAAGTAAAATTAAAAAGAAATATAAATTAATTTTTCAAAAATAGGAAAAAAGTTAAAATAATTTTCGAATTCTCACACTCTCTCCCTCTTACGAAAATTTCATTCTCGAAATTTTTACCTTCCATCACCGCAAACGACTCTGGAGTCAGTTGCTTATCTATGGCATATACCCATGTTGGCACTATTAGTCTATTCCTTCTTTCATTAACTTGTTTAGGGGTAGTTCTATCCCCTTGTTGAGCATTATTTTCCCGTTGCTGCTTTTTCGAGCAGTTGCAAAAATTTATGGTCGGTACTTCCACAAAATTTATGGTCGGTAAAATTTATGCTAAAATTTATGCTTCCTCGGGCATTTGCGATGCTTTATTGTTGATGAGAAAGGACAGAAAGCAACTCTTGTCATATCTCACTTGGGGAAAGTCATTTCTTATGATCTAAATGATATGACCGTCAAGGAGCTTGTTGAAGGAGAGCCTGCAAAAGTTTATTTTGGCTAGAGGAATTCTGTGAAATATCAATGTACTGAGGCCTACCAGCATATTGAGATGTTAGCCTGTGTTTAATTGTTCTGCAACATGTTTATAGATTTGGCGAGTGACTTGATGATTTCTGCATTGTCTACCTTCCAATACACTTTTGGGATGGAGACTTTGTTTGGTTTGGTGACGTTGATATTATCTTAGATTGAGACAACAACAGCAGAATCAGTAAGAATGGGTGTGATATCTTTAATGGAAGTTTACTTTCAGGATGTTGGAATTGTAGTCCCTTTCTTATTCCCCTAGATTGCTGAAATTTCCAGATGCTTCTAGAAACTAGCATCACTGTCCAGGATATCTTGTTCTCCTTTTGGATGTTTTTAAGGGCTTTGGTGAAAATTTGCTTGTGGAAATTTCATGGTCTAGGTGCCTCCCTGTTTCCTCTCCTTCTGGATGATTGAGAATGCTTTTTTTGGTTGCAGAAAATTCTGCAAGTTGTTGGCTCTTGCATTGCTAGAAAGTTTTTGCTTTTTCCAGGGAGAAGGGTCTGTTTTGATTTAGCCACAAATGCTAATTCATGATAGTTTACTGTTGACTGATGAAGTTTTGATCTGTTCTACAAAAACATGAAAGTTCTGAACTAGACGTTTTAATGATTTACAATTGAACATTCCTCTGAACGTCTAAGTTTCAATTGCTTAAAGTACTTATTGACTACTACACCAGAGGCTGTTTGGCTTAATTGTATTAGTCTTCTGAATTTTGACAGCAACAATTACAACTATACAGCAGGAATTTCGATGGTGGATATCTTATCTCCTTGTGACATCCCGGTGAACCATAACATGGAAGTTCAAGAAAACTCCAGGATGCTTCATGCCCATAGTTGAATAGTGTTTATTGACTAGATAAATTGTATTTAGCACAAGTCCATATCATCTGGTGTTTCTCCATGACTTTTTGCAGATCTGTCAGGTTTATTATCTAATGGTAAAGGTTGCATGGTATCCAAAAGAATTCTTGAAAGTACTTAAGATTAGCTAGATGCAGTTTCTCCAGGTCACGGGGGGTTTTGGTATGACTGAAGTACAGCTAATATTGGATTTTTGAAAATGTAATATGGAAGTAAAAATAGATATTTTAGATATTTTTAACAAATAACAATTAGATTTGTGTATCTGTGATCTTAAGGACTGTGCTATGTGCTGGATGTTGTTATGCCTGCACAAGCATGTATGAATAGGCAAGTTCCAATAAGTTTGTAGTAAGTCCACAATCCATAACACATCATTCAGATTTGAAAACTTCTAAATACTTTATAAAAACACTGAAATCCGTACTCGTTTAAAGCATGGGACTTGTGAGTTATG